CACCACCGACTTGATGAATATGAGTTTGAGCACCTTCTGGGAGTTGGTGATGGACAGGGAAGCCTGGGGTGTTGCAGCCCATGGGGTCACAAAAAGTCAGACATGATTGAACGACTGAACTGAACTGATGGGAGAAACAGCTCTGTAATTCTGTGAGATTGCTACTGGTAGTTGGATGACTTAGCTCCCCATACCGTCCTTCTCCCCTGGATTATTTTGAAGCAAATCCAAGGAATTTTATTTCTTCTATATTTCTGTGGTATCCCTAAAAGATAATTTTTTTCACATAACCATCATAGCATTATTATCTCTAAAAACTGACAATAATTCATAATAATATCAGTAACATCCAGTGTTCAGGTTCCATTGATTTTTTTCATAATATGTTTTTATAGTTGGTTAATTCAGATAATTCAAACAAGGTCCCCACGTTATATTTCTTTATGTTTCAAGTCTCTTTATAAATTCCTTTTTTCCTCCCATTTTTGTTTATTGAAAAAAACAGGTGATTTATCCACTAGAGTGTCCCAAAGTCTGGATTTTGCTGGTTTTGACCATATGGTGCTATTTTTAATATGTTCATTTACCCTCTGTTGGACTTCCCAGGTGGCACAGTGGTAAAGGTGTGCCAATGCAGGAGACAAGGAGACTCAGGTTTGATCCCTGACTTGGGAAGATCTCTAGAGTAGGAAATGGCAGCCCACTCGAGTATTCTCGTCTGGAAAATTCCATGGACAGAGGAGCCTGGTGGACTGCAGTTCCTGGCGTTGCAGAGAGTTGGACATGACTGGGCCTGCACATACTGTCCTCTATATTTCCTACAAACTGATAATCACCTAGAGGGTTAATTGAATTGAGGTCATTTTCTTTTTATTAGGGGAGGGGGTCAAGAATACTTCATGAATGGTAATAGTGTTCCTTCCCTGTTTTACCACATAATTCTCATAATTTATGATTTTATCCCTTTTCGTGATATTAAGTCATCAGTGAGTTCAAGTACTATCATTTTGATCCATTAATTATAAAATCCCCCAGATTTTACCTTAGGGTTTAAATAGTTATTGATAATTGTTGCCTAGACTCAATCCCAGAGAAGGCAATGGCACCTCACTCCAGTACTCTTGCCTGGAAAATCCCATGGATGGAGGAGCCTGGTAGGCTGCAGTCCATGGGGTCTCGAAGAGTCGGACGTGACTGAGCGACTTCACTTTCACTTTTCGTTTTTATGCATTGGAGAAGGAAATGGCAACCTACTCCAGTGTTCTTGCCTGGAGAATCCCAGGGATGGGGTCCGACAGGACTGAAGTGACTTAGCAGTAGCAGACTCATTGTTTCATTAAGATTACAAAGTTATTAAGTGGGACTCTTTGAAAAGAAGGGCTTTTCCTCATAAACTCTTAGTTCTCTGATATATTGTAAAGTCATGATAAATACTGGATTCTTTATTTTACCAGTTTTCAAAATAGTGTTTTGATTACATGGTACTGATCAAAAGGAGTGAAGTGAGATTTATTTTTGTTTATTTTTAGTATAATCATGAAACCTTGAGCTTAAAACTGGGTTTTTTTGTTTGTTTGTTCTTAACAGAAGTTGTCCTTTTTTATGTTCAGATTGTCCCATCTTTGGTTAGTGGGAGTCCTTTTGATACCTCTCCAGTAGTCTTTGATAGCTTTCTTGCTTCCTGGTAAAACAAGACGTTCCAAGATCCTTTTGTATATTACTGCCCCGGGCCTGGGATCAGCCCTTCTTCAGAGGTGCCATTGTTCTTTTTTTTTTGGTAGGATATCATACTGCTCTGGGCATAAGAGGTACTCATTGCTCCTGAGTTGGGTACTGCTGTTAAACCTTTTCAGTGGATAAAGGTAGGCATTTTTATAAATAGAAGAGATTTTCCTCGTATTTCTGATTCAAATTTAGGACTTCAGAGTTTTAAATTCCTTGATTTTGTATTTGTGTCTCTTTTCTCATATGCTGAAAATTTTAGTTCTGAGTGATACTGTTTAATCTTATACAATAGTGTCAGAATAGCAGTATCAACATTACTAATATGATTACTGAAAGTATTATTTTTTAAATTTCCTTTTGTTCTTAGAATATATGCCACTGGGGATATACAGTTTTATTACAGTGTTTTAAAATCATTTGAAATAGTTCTTTTCAATGTTATAAAGTACCAAATGGAGCTAGATTCATTTTTTATTTTTAAAGATTTTTTTAAAAAAATCTAATTTTGTCTTATGTACATGGTTCCAAGTTCAAATTCATATCTGCAAAGTTGGGTACATTTGGAAAAGTCTAAGTTTAACACCTGTCTCTTCTTCCTGTTCTTGCCCTTTTCCTAAAGGTAACTTTTTTAAAATTTAATTTTTAGTATATCCTTCTATTTCTAAAATATAAGTACACAGAAATATATATAGTTATATACATATAAATTTGTATTTTCCCCTTTCTTATATAAAAGGTAGCTTATTATATAACTGCTTGTTTTTCAATGTCAACGTATTCTCAGATTTCCTTCACAGCAGTATGTAGGTATTGCTCATTTATTTTATAGCTGTATAGTGCTTCATGATGAGGATGTACGTATGTTGGTTCATTCAGTCAGTTTTTTGCTAGTGCCATTGGTCTTATGAATATATCTTTTCTTTTTTATTTTGCCCATTTATGTTTGGGATAAAACCCTGTCAAGTGGGCATGCTGGGTTGTAGATTCAGTGACTGTGTCATTTGGTGGATATTGTCAAATTTTCCTCCATAGGGTTTGTGCCATTTTACATTTCCAGAAATGCAAATGCTTTCCCGTGATGGATGATTCAGTGAACCTCTCAGGTATATAGAGGTGAATTAGGAGTATATGAGATCAAAGAAAAAGTATCATGGTTCCTGATAAAATGTCAGTGTTTAATGAAAACCTCATTTCTTGTGTTGAGTAAATTGATTGGTAAACTATATTCACATGAAAATGAAATGTTCAGGTTTAGATGTTTGCTTTGGTGTGTGTGTGTATTATGAACAACGAATGATAAAAGTATTTTGGGGAAATGTAATAAATTAGAATTGAATGTTAAATACTTTAAATTCCTTGTTGATATGATCTTCCTTTTAGCATAGTGAATATTTTGGGTAAAAAAGCAAAGTTTAGTTTCATTTCAAGGACTGAGATTACTGTTTACTACAATAAAGAAAACATTCATTGGATTTGAAATTTGGTATTTGCAGGTTTAATAGTTAAGAGTTTTGATTGTCCATATACAGTTGTCCCTGAGAACCCTCAGGGCATTGGTTTCAGGACTCACTCCCACCCCATATCAGAATTCCCAGATGCTCAAGTCCCTTATATAAAATGACACAGTATCAACATGTATCCTATGCACATCCTCCCATATACTTAAAATCATCATTTATAATCCTATAATAACTAATACTGTGTAAATTCTGTGTAAATAGTTGCCAGTGTGTGGCAAATTCAAGTTTACTTTTTGGAACTTTCTGGAATTTTTATTCTGAATTTTTTCTACCTGAGGATGTGGAATCCCTGGATATGGAGGGCTGACTGTATGTCTTTGAAGGTCTGATTACGGATTACATGTAGTAATCTGTAATTTTGAAAGTGTATAAATATTTTGTCAGTTCCCTTCCTTCCCAGCTTTACTGTGGCCTTCGTAGTTCCCTACTTGTCTTATTTTTTTTTAACATTTTTTTTATTAAGAATATGAGAGAGTAAAATTTTTCAGTTTAATGAATTTTTTTTTTTTTTAGTATTTTATAATGAAATCATGTGCTGTAGTAGTGCTTTTGTTTGGGATTTTTTCAAAGTTTGGGGAAGGTATTAGTCACCATTATCAAAGTACTGTTGTAACAAAGAAACAATTGGCAAGAGAGATTGAGTTGACATTGTAGAAGAGCTTGATTTTCAGAATAACAAGTTCAGAATTTATTCTTTAGGCAGTGGGAAATCAATAAAAGTTTATAAGATTTCTTTATATTTTTCAAGTGAAAAACTTGAGTGTTATACTTTTTAGTTTTCATGTAAATTTTGTTATATAGTTGTGTAGTTTATGAAATATTTTTTTACTTATGGAGAAACAGAAGCATACATATGACTGTTAATGGCTGACTGATAACATATTTATTGAGCTGTAGTCTGGGCCAGATGCTTAGTACATTACTAAATACTTTATATGGGTTTTCTCCCTCAATCCTCACTGCAACCTGATGAAGGAAGGGAGTATTATTATCCCCACTCTCATCCCATTAGAGGGAAAATTTAAGGCTTAGAGAAATGTAATGCATTATCCTGGGTTGGATCCTGGGCCTATTGAGAACATCATTAGGATAATCAGTGAACTTTGATTGGGGCCTGTTTAGATGGTTATAGTGATCAGTGTTAATAACATCCTGATTTTGGTGATGTTTTACTTAGGGTATATACACTGAGATGTTAAAGGGTAATGGGCATCATGCATAAGATTTATTCTCAAATGGTTCTAAAATGTTAACAGTTTCATAATGTGGGTGAAATATATATTTCTCTGCAACTTTTTGTAAATCTGAAATTATTTCAAAATAAAAGAAGAGAAAACACTGAGTCATCCAGTCATATGTGACTTTCTTTGAAGTGGAACAGAATAATTCACTGAACTTAATCTCTCTTATTCCGAGTGTGTGTATCTGTTTGTCTTTACTACCTCTTCTTTTTCTAACCAAAGTCACATATGATAGTAAAGTTAATATCAAGCAAGTTTTTATTCATTCCTCATTGTTACTTATTAATTACTTACTGTAACAGTGTTATCCTTCACTTTCAAGTTTATTCTGAATTAGATTGTTTGCCTTTTATAGTATTTATGCTCCGAGGTCACTTATTAAATTTTAAATGTAGTTTTTTTCCTGTTTAAGTTTATATTTTATAATGAACTGTTAAACACATTCTATAAATATACATCTTACTTTAGTTTTAAATGTCACTATCTCAAAATAATTTTCTGCTTTTTAATGTAGGTTGTTCTATGATGAGGCTTTTGCTATGGCTAATGACCCCTTGGAAGGCTTCCATGAAGTGAACCTTGCTTCACCTACTTCTCCAGACCTTCTTGCTGTGTATGAACCGGGAACTCAAGAGCAGACTACCTCACCTAGTGTCATCTATCGGCCACATCCTTCAGCTTTGTGCTCCACCCCTATCCAGGCTAATGCCTTAGATGTTTCTGACCTTCCTACACAACCTGTGTATTCCTCCCCCAGACGTTTAAATTGTGCGGAAATATCCAGTGGCAGGTAGGAGAGAATCAAGATGCTTGTTTTAGAGCATTGTATTAAATGGAGTGTGCTTGGATAACTTTTTTTAAGTTTTATTATTTTAGAAAATTTGAATAATATAAGGTTGTTTATGAAGAGCAATGCATGTCAATGATCAAGAGCAGGGGTTGCAGACTTTTTATGGAAAGGGCCAAATAGCAAATATTTCAGACTTTGTGGGCTACACCGCCTCTGTTTTGACTGCTGGATGTGACTATTAAGGTGTGAAAGTAGTCATAAAAGTGAAGCTGTTCAGTCGGGTCTAACTCTCTGCAACCCCATGGACTGTAGCCTGCCAGGCTCCTCCATCCTTTGGATTCTCCAGGCAAGAATACTGGAGTGGGTTGCCATTTCCTTCTCCAAAAGTAGTCATAGGCAGTATGTAAATGGATAAGCGCCAGTAAAACTTTGTATGTGAACCTTGAATTTTGGATTTTATATAATTTTCTTGAGCCACAAAATATTATTTGATTATTTTGAACCATTTGAAAATGTAAAAATCATTTTTGGCTTTTGGGCCTTCAGGGAACAGGTAGCAGGCTGGATTTATTCTACATTTACTTTGTAGACCGCTGTTCTAGAGTATCACTATCCAATAGAACTTTCTGGCATGATGAAAATATTCTCTGTCCTATTTAAGATGATAGCCATTAGCCATATATGGCTATGAAGGACTTGAGATGTTGTTGCTTTGGCCCTGGACATGCTATTAATTAGTTCTGGTGGTGAACACTTTGGATAATGCAGTTATAGGCATGTGTGTTTATGCCAGTTAATACTTGAGCACATGGTGATGTTTGTTTGAACTCTCCTTTACAGCATCCATGGTGCAGATCCAGCACCTTGTTCTACCTCTGGAATCACAGCTGGGTTACTTAAATTAACTACCAGAAGGGACAACTGTAGTGCAGAGAGGGAGTTTCTACAGGGTGCTACTGTAACGGAGGCCTGTGATGGCAGTGATGATATTTTTGGGTTGAGTACTGATAGTCTGTCCCGCTTACGAAGCCCATCTGTTTTGGAAGTCAGAGAAAAGGGCTATGAAAGATTAAAAGAAGAACTTGCAAAAGCTCAGAGGGTAAGCAACAATATATTTTATTCTTCTATGTGTTACATTCAGAATGAATATTTGTCCATGGGAGCAACTCAAGTGAAATCTTACAGTTCTACACCTTTTGCATATTTGTACTCTCAGTTGCTGTTGGGCAGCATTTGGGAATCTGTGAATTGGTCTCGATAGTAAAGAAGCTTATCCAAGAATATGAACAGAAAAAAAGAGACTCTTAATTCTTTGTTTTCCCTTTCCTTGTCTTGCATTTTCTGTAGTGCAGATTTGGGGAGTTACGTTCTGTGTGTGGATTTTTTTCCTCTCTACACGTGGTTGATTTTGTGATTATTTACTCGAAGCCATTAGGTCCAAGTCATTATGTTTTGAGGAATAGTTTTAGTAATAATGCTGTGCAGCTGAATTTGAATGTTTTTTGTATCTTAACTTGGAGATTTGTCTTTCTTCATCATTTGTTTTATTTCTCACTTGCTCATCTTTTAAATTTCTGATATTCCCAAATTTGTGACTAAATTTCTTTCTTATTCTAAGTCTGTAATTAAATTTTAAAGGGACATTTGTAGCACTAAGTATTTATACATTAGAGAAAAGGAAAAGTTTCAAATCAACAATCTAGTCTCCCACTTTAAGAAACTGGAAAAAGATGAGCAAAATAAAACCAGAAGCAAGCAGAAGGAAGAAAATAATAAAAAGCAGAAACAATGAAACTGGTTACATAAAAATTAGAGAAAATGAACAAAACAAAGCGCTGGTTCTTTAAAAAGATCAATAACATGGACAAGCCTCTAACAAGACTGAAAAAAACAAGAATAGAAGACACAATAGCAGGAATGAAATAGGGGATATCACTACAGACCCTGCAAACATTAAAAGTATAGTAAAGGAATAATACAAACAGCTCTACATATATAAATTTCACACTAAGGTGAAATGGACCAGTTCACATTTAGAAAGCTAGGGAAGATAAGGGAAGAAGAAGATAGGGAAATCATTCTACAACATAATTTCCACATATGACATTTTACAAGTATATATTCCCATTTTCTCCCCCAACAGACTTGTTTCTCAGGAGTATAACACTGGTTTTGGTATCCCTGGTGCCTAGCATAATAAGGTACAATGCCTGGTGTGTATATGTCTCTCTAAATGCTTCAATGGATGCCTGATGGTTAGACGGCCATAAAGAGCTGTTGAAACATTTTTGGTTGAATATATCAGAAAGATAAATCAATATTCTTTTAAACTTCTCCCCAAAGGTAGGGGCTGTGGTGAGATGTGGTTATATTTGACCTATGTCATCTGGCTCAGACTCTTGTCTTAGTACAGAATATTAAGTGAAATCACAGTTTATATAGAAGTGAACTATTGGACATATATATCCATGTTTGAGAATACATTGTGGTTACTTATTCATCACGATATATTGCTAATTTCTTAGCTCAGGTTGAAAATTTGTCTTGAAATTTTTAGTTTGTTGTATTTAGAAGTACTGTTGACATAATTGAAATGATGATGTGTGAACACATGCAAATGGTGAATTCTGTTATGAAGAATTCAGGATAGTATTGATACTTACTTAGAGCTTAAGCCTTGTAAAGGACTGTTTAATATGAAAATACTTCCTCCTCCAACTAATAAAAATAAATGGAAAAGAAATATTTCCTGAATTATAGCAACATGTTAATCAAAATTATGTCAGTAGTCATTCTTATTTTGATGATGATTTTTAAGAGTGGCTAGACAGTTCCCATTTTTCCATCCTTTTACTTTTAACCTATTTTTGTCTTCTTGTTTAAAGTGGGTTTTCTTGTAGGCAGCACGTCATTAGATCTTTTTTTTAAATCCTTTCTAATCTCTGCCTTTTAACTGGTGTGCTTATGTTAGACTTTTTACATTTAATGTGATATAGTTTGGTTTAAATTTGCCAACTTACGGTTTGTTTTCTGTTCGTCTCTTATGTTTCTTTCCCCCCTTTCCCTTTTATGCCTTTTGGATTAATTCTATATATTTTTGTGATTTCATCTTTGCTCTGTTGGCTTATCAGTTATATGTCGTCTTTTTGCTAATTTCGTGGTTGCTTTAGGGTTTATTGTATGCATCTTTAATCAGTCTCTACTTTCTAGTGATATTATACTACCCCGTATATAAGAACTTATAAAAATATAGTTGACCCGTGGACAATGTGGACATAGGGGCACTGACCCCTGTGGTTGAAAATCTGCATTTGAATTTCCAGTCAGCCCTTTGTATACATATAGTTCCACACCCTTGGAGTCAATCAGTCATGGATTGTGTGATACTGTAGTATGTATTTATTGAAAAAAATCCACATATAAATGGACATGTGCAGTTTAAACCCATGTTGTTCAGAGGTCAAGTGTACTTTTATCTCCCCCTTTCAGTTTTTATGCTATGATTACTATATATTTTACTTCTCCATATATTTTAAATTTCAGGATATATTTAACTTATTTTTTCATTAAACAACTGGTTGTTTTTAAAGGGATTTAAAAATCCGTATCCATGCTATGCATGCTAAGTCACTTTAGTTGTGTCTGACTCTCTACACCCTGTGGACTGCAGCCCACCAGACTCGTCTGTCCGTGAGATTCTCCAGCTAGAACACTGGAGTGGGTTGCTGTGCCCCCCTCCAGGGGATCTTCCCAACCCAGGGATTGAACCTGTGTCTCATTTGTCTACCTACACTGGCAGGCGGTCTAGTGCCACCTGGGAAGCCCATTTAAATTGTCAGAATCCTTATATTTACCCATGTAGTTACCATTTCTAGTGCTTTTCATTCCTTTATGTGGATCCAGATTTCCATCTAATAACATTTTCCTTCTACTTGAAGGGCATCCTTTAACATTTTTTGTTGTATGCTGCTGATAAATTTTTTTTTAGCTATTGTGTATCTTGAAAGATCTTTTTTTAATCTTTGTTTTTGAAATGTATTTTCACCAGCTAAAGCATTTCAGATTGATAATTTTTTTGTATCAGTATCATTATTTTGAAGGTCTTGCTGCATTGTGGTCTAGCTTGCACTGTTTCTCATGAGAAGTCAACTGTTAACCCTTACTTTTGTTTCTCTGTACTGTGATGTGATGTTTCTCTTTATCATTGGCTGCAAATGATTTGATTATGGTCTGTCTGCTTGTAGTCCTCTTCAGGTTTCTTGAGCTTGGAATTTGTTGATCTTCTTAAGTGGGTACGTTGCTTGTTTTTTTCATAGAAATTGGGAAATTTGACCATTACTTCTTCAAACGTATTTACATATCTCCTCTATCTCTCCTTTCTTTTGGGACTCCTGTTACATGCACATTAGACTGCTTGAAGTCCCTAACTCACTGGTGCTCTATCATTCATTTAAAAAAAATTTTTTTTCTCTCTGTTTAATTGTGGATGATTTCTATTGCTGTGTCATCAGTATCACTATTCTTTTTCTCCCCTGTAGTATCTAATATGTTAATTCTACACAGTGTATTATTATTATTATTATTTTTATCACAGACGTGGTAGTCTTCATCACTGAAAGTTTGATTGGATCTTTTAAATATTTTACTTAATGTGCTTTGTCTTAGCTTCTTAAACATATGAAATACAGTTTAATAACATTGAATCTGTATCTACTAATGCTTTTTTCTCTTCAGGTGATAAGCTGGAACAACTCATAGGCTTTGCTTTATTATTTCCCATTTCTGGAGGATCACTTTTTTTTTTTTGCCTGCATCCAGTGTCTTAAAAATCATTTCATATGTTTTTTTCCAGTTTTTCAGTTGTGTCAGGCAGGTGGTGAATGTGATCCCTGTTATTCTATCTTGATTGAGAGTGAAAGTTCTGTTTGTTTGTTTGTATTGATTGCTCTGCCCCATCCCAGTTAACCCCAACGTAGATGTCTGCACTTACACGTACACTTCAGTAATTTTGAGCTTCACAAGGATTGGGATTACATGTGTTTTTGCTCATGATTATATCTTGAGCACATAAAAGGTTCTCAACACATTCTGTTGATTAAATGAATATATGCATGCATTACACTGTTGTGTAAGTGGACATACAGAATATATTAGTTAGGGATGTGCCAGCTCCTTGTGAGGTACCCCTAAATTTTAGTGACTTACCGTGGTAGAAGTTCATTTTTATTCACTTAACACTTAAGCAGGTGTTCATAGTTCATAGGCAGTTCTCTGTGAAATAATTCGGGAATCTGTGTTTCTTCCATCTTGGATCTTTGTGATCTTTTAGGGTTTTATTATCTGTATCTAACCAGTGAGATGAAGGGTAAAGAAAAGTTGGAAAAAGCACACCTGCTTCTAAAAAACTTCAACTTAGAAATGATACACCTAACTCTTACTCATATTTCTTTGGTGTGAGCCAGTTTCATGCTGACACTTAAATGTGTGATGGACGGGGAAATGTAGTCATTGGTGGGGCAACCGCTTACCAGCACAAACCTGTGCTGTACATAGGGAGACCACACGTGTGGTGATTGAGTGTCAAGTACAGAGACGCACGTGAGACAGTGATGTAGTCCTTCACGTCTTGTGATGTAGGCCAGTCTTGCCTTCTGCAGATCATTGCTGAAGAACAACTCTTGATGGATTCCTGAGGCAGAAGTTGGGTTTTAGTACATGTTTTTTAAAATGTAGATTCCTGGAGTCTACCCTAGATTCTGTTAAAAAAGAATTATTGTATTGAGGCTGGAGGATATGCATGTTCAATAAGCTATCCTACTGATTCTTCTTTTTTTTCCCTTTTTCAGTTGAAGTATAGTTGATTTACAGTATTCGTTTCTGGTATACATATTCTTTCTTCGATTCTTATATTCTTTTGATTCTTACATTCACTAAGGTGTGAGACCTACTGGTATAAGGTATTACTTTCAACTTTTAATTATTCTTCCTTAAAAGAAAATGAAAATGACTTAGAAAATAAAATTCAGTGGAATATTATAGCTTGCAGTCAGAGAAAGTCATTCGAGACACATACTTCTACAAATCCATGTTTGGCATGGC